GAACTACTGTTTGTGTGACTGCTAACCAACTGCTTAAGTGGACCTACCTAGTTAACCTGTTCGTAATTCATATGGGGTGACCATCCATAATGCACAATGAATCATCTAGGCAAATCAAATATCTAATGGTAAGGTAGATCACAAAGCATTTCCAGAATCCTTAAAAGTGTTGATTAGGTAGTCAGAAAAGATATACTTTGGAGTACTGAAATGGTTTTGCACCTGTGTAAGCCAACCTCTTTTCAACACTGATACTGCTAATAATTCTTCAAAAAGCATTAGATTTGCTTTAATTTTCAATCCACCCATTAATTGATTTCTTCAAAATCCTTATTCCCTCGTTTTCAGAGTCTGTTCTTAGGGACAAATGAATGCATACGGCTGTTCTTGAACATGAGCCCTCTAGCTACCATAACACTAAGCGAAATTATGTGGGCGACTGATGAACGCAGTGATCAAGCAGCCGTTTAGACATATAAAATGGCTCTACTCTTCTTTAACAGGATGCAACATCAGTATCTTTCCAATTGATCATTATCTGAATAACTAAAGTTAATAGTTTGCTTACAACTTTAGCATACTTCGTTCATTAGACAAACAAATGTCGAATAATAATTAAAAAGGATCATGGTCTATAGATAAATCGATAAAAGTGAGTCACTCAACTTCCAATTCTTGTCTAATCACTAGGGTGAATCACCGACAGAGTTCATTTAAATAAATGTTCTGTATTGCACTACGATATTCAGAGGCATAAACAATACGATGACGTAATTCACTAGTGAGTGGCTAAAATTGTTAGTAAACAAATGAGATATGCAAAAAACACTGTGAGTTAGACTCACTTAGTTAGATATCAAACAGATGAATCACAATGTTTAACAAGTGGTGGTGTGTGTAACTGAGTGAATAGAAACCACTTACACTTAATAAGGGCTGACACACAAGACTCCCACATGACCAAATGAAGAACACATGAGTCAGTTAAACCATCTCTTTCAATAACTTCACCTCAAAGCCGTACGCTTAATAAGAGACTTATGTGTATACAATGTTAGTCAAGAATAAAAGTCAGAGGTCATTATTAATTAGTATGTCTCAGAGTGTATGAGAAACAACAATGTGTTAGAAATACTTGAATATCTTATATAATCTAGACAGGGTTGACAACTAATTGGCTTTAATACGCAACAGATCAGGAAGATAAAACTGACACCAAGGCTGTGGTAGTAGAAGAGGCTGGATAAAACCTTTGTGAACATGAAGTTCAGGCTCATCACCATGGACTACTAGAATTTAAGCCACCTGAAGCGAAATCTTTTTGAACGGTTTGATCGTAATTTACGCATGACTCAGATTGAAGTCACCGCTTGCAATAGCCTCCAACCTTCGTTGCTAATTAACATTGTATGTACAAATCCCCAGATAACCAACCGCACAGCTATGGAGCTACGAAGAAAGATATCTTTTATGAGTCGTGTGCGATGGGTATGTGATATAATTATCACTTCATAGATGATCATCTCTGATTAACACCTGATTTATTAATATTCAAGAGTTCAGTTCTAGCATAACCGGAATATTTGGGTTTCAGTCTCCTTGATATAAAGTATTTGTAAAAATGTGCAATTTGTGGGTTTCGAAAGCTGCTTGCTTTCTATACATAAAACGGCAGTCATTATGATGGTTGACTATCAGTTTCGATAATTGACATGAGACTTGCTTGATACTTACATCCTGTCCCTATCAACATACACGGACCTGTTATATGAACAACATGGAGTAAATTCATGCTTCCTCAATGTCTGGAAAGTACATCGTTCAAAGAGTGTCTCATTGTGTAATAATTACAGTTATCATGGAGTGGAGTAGAGTGCACCTTACAAGACACCAAAATAAACCCAAGTCTAAAATAAATAGATCAAACTGGATCAACTTAATACTTACTAAATAAATGTCTAACAAGTGTTTTAGGCGTTCTAAATTTTGTTTTAAATGGTACACTTCCAGATTAGCTCGATCTCCATTTTGTGCTATTTTCTTGTTCTGTTAATGAGTGTATTCTGTAACTCAGTGGATTAGCCACACCAGCTAGATGAGTTCTAACTTCTTTTCCCTGAATAATCTTTACTTTTAGTCTCATTCAAATATACTGCTCATCAGAGCACATTACTAAGTAACTAAGAATTTTTAAGGTTTTATTTGCGTCTTGCTATCAGTAATTAAAAATCAGGTAGTGCGTTGACTGATTCGGTAATTAGACATATTACGTTTAGTAGAATCTAAGTCTTATGCAGAATTTTATTCCCTAGATCTGTCAATATCTTCGATAAACGATGAATCAGTTCTAGTTTAATTAACTCAGATGATATTCATTTTACTAGTAAGTTTTACTGACCAATAGAAATAAATCAATTCCAATTGAAATTATCTATCATGAGTGAGTAGGCATTGAAGATAACACTTGCTCATTAAACTTATGTGATCTATTTATACATTACGGACACGTGTCTGAAAGCCTCTGAATGAGGAATGTAGCTCTTAACAGTGACGGTACTCGGAACCCGATTGACACCAAACATCCGGTAGGCGTCTTAGGTTTCTTTCAGGAAAACAAACGAAGAAACAATCTTGTTTCATAGAATGATATACGACCTATTACGAAAAGACATTTCCACGCGTTTGAATACACATTACATACAGAATGAGGAATGGTGTTCCAAGTGAAGTGAGGATAGAATAAGATAAGGTAGAGATTACAGAAGCGTTCCATGTGCAGAAATGAAATCATTCTAAGCAGGTGAATGAGAAGAATCCAAATGAACATTTCAAATCCTAAGTGGATGAAAAGATGAGTGTTCTGTGGCACAAATTTCATGACAACGTAATCTCGAAGGAAGCCATGTACGCGATATTGACACACACACACACACACACAGGGAGAATTTCGACAGTGTTTGATCAATAGTGGTAAGTAATTGAAGCATGTCTTCAGCAGAAGAAAACATGCTTTCAATATGAATCGTAAAATTTTGCTAAAGATAACGTTGCAGTGATTAGTCATTAACAATTAGCATAAGAAACGAAGGTAAGAGTTATGCAGTTGAAGGTAGAGGTAGTAGAGCAATATCTACATGATTTCGAAATCACTGATTGAGCAATATACACCAGTTAGTTAGCGTTCCAATGACGCCAGCCAGACAAGCTACACCTCACTAGATGACTGGAAACAACAATCAATGTCTTCACGGACGGATGTCATGTTTTAGCTCGACCATCTCCAACTACTTTCCAACCCAATCCTATGTCAGGTAACACTGCTCAGTGTGGAAGATTACCGAGGGTTCGACACGCAAAAGACATATGCTCTCCGTGTCAGTCGATGTCCGCTCCTCACCTAGTCCAATCAATCTACGTAGTAAGAGTCAATGGTGAATGTTGCACTACCTTCGTGTTTATAAGTTTCCCGACCGCAGATGTTACGAATTTCCTGGAATAATTTGAGCGACGAATCACATTCAAACATCATAATAAATTACTTCAAATAATCCCAGCGTGTTTAAGAAAAAGTCCAAACAGGGTTTTCCTGAACGTTTCGCTGTGATTAATAAAATCGAATTATTCTGATGAAGAAGCTGTGGCTTACACAACTGAACGTTCAGATAAATCTTGTTTTGGTTTTTCTTAAACACACTGGGATTATCTGAAATAATTTATAATGACTTGGTGATTATACTTACAGAATAGGGTTATCTATCTCCGATTGCGCCACGTATTCTCCCAGATCTTCTGTTCTGTTTAGAAAATTCGGTTTTCATCTCAGTGTCACTCGCCCGTCTCTTCCTGACACTGAAAAGTAGTTTCAAAGTTACACCACTTATTGTCACTGTCAAAGTACTCTTTCTAGTTAGACTTCCTTTCTGATCAGAATTTCGAACTCCACTCCCTTTCTTCCAAGAACATTCACCTCATTTATTTGTAACCAGTCAGTTCTGTCAACATTAAATAATTTCGATACTGTGGTCTCACCTCGAACTTCTGTCATTCATAGCACTTAAGAATACCTTGTTGTCAACGTGATGAAGTCTCACAACTTGTATATTATGGTGTTATTTGGGTTGTGAGCAGTTGAGAGGAATCCGCGAAATGATACAAACCTACTCATTTCATCACGCCATATTCGTTTCTCACATTCTGTCTGCTAGTAATAAACCATGCACACTTATTGCTTCCAAGACTAACATTATGACAATACAATTTTTATCCAGTTGGTTGTTTGATCCGAAATTCCCACAGTAATTCAAAGTCATCGTTATTTTCAAACCCTTACATTATGCTGTCTAGAACGGCCGTTCAGTTATGGTGAATTTGGTTTCGAGTTAACGCGTGATTACCGGTTTCAACATAGGTTTTCATAACGCTTAACACATAGAAGGCAATGCAACTCATTCATGTATGTCAGGTTTATTTTAAGTGTTTTGAAAGAAAGCTCACCTTCCACAGAAACGTTTTAGGTTTACGGAAACGTCAACTACTCTAGTGAACTAAAAGCCTGCTGAACTTATTCCCCCGACATTTAAGTATCAGATGAGTGCACAGAACATACGACCACAATGACATTTCCACACTATTCATTTCCTCTGATCTACGATGAAACAGCCCTTCAACACCTGTCGTATCCTGCCAATCGACCATGAAACTGTCACACGGAGCACTAGACTCCTCACAGCTTGTTTATCCTTCAGTAAACGTGAGGAGTAAGACAACTGTAGCCAAGTTTATTACAGTTAACTTCATACTGATCCTGAACAAACGACGAGTGATATGTGAACGTATGAACAAACCAACGGTCAGCATATGAAACCCGGAAGAATAGGAACCGCATCTTTCCACTCCAGTGGACATGGTACTAGTACACAATAAACCAAACAGACTACCAGGGATCGGTATTAACTCTTGATTTCCTCACTCCATATCGATGTAATAAGTAAAACAGCTGCTGACTGAAAACAAGAGGTTCATTTATTTACCAAATTATTCAAAGTGTTATAAAGTGTTAAGATAAAGTTTTTGTACATTACACTCAAAATAATAATAATACTCTTATTCGCGTATTTCTTTGGTTTAATTTTGGCTTCTTTTGATCACAAACGTTTTATTTAATTCCATTTTCTCTGGAACATCTATCGAAGTGTCTTTCGTTTTGTCCATCTGTAAGGACGATTGATCACATTTGTGGGTTCTACAAATAACATATGTCGTATTTCGTATTCTAGTCGTTGCATTTTGAGATTCCAGACTTTCTTCTGAACGACTGTTTGAGATAACTGTGTAATCGGGACGCCGATCCCACTCTTCAGGAGTGCTACATTTTGGCTGATTTAGTGTTAAAGGATTATTTTTGGTAAAACCCTTTCTTGTAGTAGGTATTGGAGAAATATAAGCATCCGGAAACAGTTGTTGCCCGTTATCTGCATCAGGCTCAGATGATGAGTTCATTTCTTTGCCCATTTCACTGCTTGACTGCATCTAGATTTGAGAAGCAAAATATAAATAAATATGAGGCGAACCAAACAAATGACCGTATATAAGACAAGTATCACTATATTGAAGTGCTCAGAGATACTTTCAGTTTGTTGAATTTTGAAAGACCATCCTTACTCAACCTTTATCATACAATTCTTTTCATCCACTTAGGATTTGAAATGTTCATTTGGATTCTTCTCATTCACCTGCTTAGAATGATTTCATTTCTGCACATGGAACGCTTCTGTAATCTCTACCTTATCTCATTCTATCCTCACTTCACTTGGAACACCATTCGTCCTTGTGTGTGTAATGTGTATTCAAACGCGTGGAAATGTCTTTTCGTAATAGGTCGTATATCACTCTATGAAACAAGATTGTTTCTTCGTTTATTTTCCTGAAAGAAAACTAAGACGCCTACCGGATGTTTGGTGTCAATCGGGTTCCGAGTACCGTCACTGTTAAGAGCTACATTCCTCATTCAGAGGCTTTCAGACACGTGTCCGTAATGTATAAATAGATCACATAAGTTTAATGAGCAAGTGTTATCTTCAATGCCTACTCACTCATGATAGATAATTTCAATTGGAATTGATTCATTTCTATTGGTCAGTAAAACTTACTAGTAAAATGAATATCATCTGAGTTAATTAAGGTAGAACTGATCAATCGTTTATCGAAGATATTGACAGATCTAGGGAATAAAATTCTGCATAAGACTTAGATTCTACTAAACGTAATATGTCTAATTACCGAATCAGTCAACGCACTACCTGATTTTTAATAACCGATAGGGAGACGCAAATTAATAAATAACTAATAACGAAAGGGAACAACAACTTGATTGGTCGATCTAAATATTGGTCTAGAAAGTTCAGTACCAATTACCGTTTCTAATTTTCTAATAAGTAAGGCATGGTTTTGCTTGTTTCGCATTGACTACCAATAAAATTCAAAATTCTTTTCCCCTCGCATTCGGGACAACGTATTTGAACATGGAGGTTTCTTAGTGAAACCTGTTGAACAGTTTCAAAAGAGACAATACGCACATCCTAGGTATCAACAAGTAAATAAAAGCAGGTTGAGATTGATGACAAAAATTAGGTAGTCGACGAAGTTGCTCATAGTTCAAATGATCCATGTATTCACAATTTATAAAATAAAGCAACTCTAATTCATAAAAGGAACTATAAGAATTGCAAATTCTTTGGGCAATTCACACCTACGCACTAAAAGCCTGTCATCTCCACCTAGAAAATTTCGCTGACTAATTCACTTATTTAAAGTTACTGTCGTTGTCAAACTATACCTGTTGAACTTTTTGTTTCGAAACTTTTTTCACAAACTCCCCTTCAATGTTTGTTTTTCTTCATGCCAGCAGTTTATATTGATATATGAGGGACAAATCTGTGCCATATGTCGCCTCAATACGCATTTAGGTGTTGTATTAGGATTGTATATGTAGCTCATATCTTGTGTTATCCTATGACGAAAACCTGACAAGTAAAATTATTTTGTTATGCACGTTCAAAAACTCCATATTGTCTGAGTCATTAAAGACACTATGCCCTTCAAAATATTCTACAAAATATCACAAAATTGTCCTGAGGAAGTGAAGATGAATGTATTCATGAATTGCTGAGGCAGTGATAAGTGTGTTCAGAAGAACTATTCCCCGTCACTAACTTTTATAGGTACAAAGGGATAAAACGCTACACTGAGCTGTTGAATTACCCTCATTATGCAGCTCATTTAAAATGTTATGCCTAACAAGGTTGAATTTCTGGATTTAATATAATCAACTAAGCTACCTGCATATCAGTTACCTAATTAATTTAATTATAGTTTTAGGCTGTTTCTTAATAACTACACTTAAATATTAGACATCTGTCGATAACTAGTTAATAGTTCAGCCAATTTCTCTTCCTGCAGATCTACACGTATCTATTGGCAGTCTAAGATGTCAGTCCAAGAGCTTTCTCCTCATCTGGCTTATAGCCAATTAATTTTTAGTGAGACAGTTGAACCGTAAGAGTCAATTAAGCGGGTCATATATATATATATATCAATTCAGCAATTATATTTCACATGGTTTAATTATTTCAGAAACTGATTTCAATGTAGTTAATAAAAAGCTTCAAATTATGTCTCTACTCATTGTATCATGTTTTCAGAGTGAAGCAAATAGTTAATTAGACCTTAATTAACTGCTAGATTTGCTAAATTTACAAATACGCTATTTTACGCTGTTATTACCTAAATAATAGCATGATTACTACCGCATTCATCTGTGGGGAGAAAGTTTCATTGAATTCGTATGAGTCTGATTATATGTTAATATAAAATTATGAATAATCAGACCTAAAGCTTAAATGTTAAAATTTTAAGAAGTGAATGATATTATAACTTCTATATATCTCATTCTTGTCACCATCTTTCCTGTTTTGATTGACACTAGCTGTGTTAAATTTGTAGTAAATTATTTATTCTTTAAAACTCTGAGACCTGTTAGCCAAGCAGTTTTGAAATATTCGTGCTTCTAGCACTTTTGGGAATACTTTAATCTTCAGAACTATATATATATATCATACTGTTATTGCTTCTTTTCAAAAGAAAACCTATTTTTCTTGGTTACGGCTATTATTTTGAACTAGAAGAATTGTTCCCCTCTCTTATCATTGAGGAAGTTATGAAAACTTCAGTTTTTGAAGGTAGCTTGAACAAGTAAGCAAGAAATAAGTAGGCCAGGAAGAATTCTTACTATTCCTTTGAATTTACGCATTCAAATCAATCTATAAGGTTATACTAAATTTACATGTGTAATAAACTTCTATAAATATATTGTCCGAAGGCTAACCAAAAAGATGTGAATACATAGTTATGCAAAATGCACAGATTTGTCCTGAAGAGTTTTATATAAAGCTTCCTGTTTAGTTTAAACAGGTTGCCATAATTCCTGAAGATATTTTGATGTATGCTCCTCTTAATAATAACAATAATATTTCATTTGTGTGAGTCCTGATGAATTACTGAATTAACACCTGGTCAACTTAAGATGTATCTATCATAGATAACAAATGAAATTACATATTGCACACTTGTTTTCGTTTGATCACTGGAGTTATCTGGTATGTCACTGGTCTATTCAAATATATAAAGTCAGAATTATGAAACAGTTATTGCAATACTGTCCATTGTCTCTCCCGATGCAGATATTTAACACTGTGCTGTAATGTACATGATTCAGTAGAAATGAATAAACTATACCAAAATACATTCTGTCAAACAATTGATGTCATTGTATGGAGGATTTCACCATGAGCTGACATCAGTTACAGAACCACTGGAAAACCTGGGAGTACTCGACAGATGTTTCGTCCTAGTTTGGGACTCTTCGGCAGTACACACCCACCGGAGCTCAAACCCAGGACCTTCTGGTTACAAGGCGAGCTGGTAGACCATTGAGCCACTGGGACCCGATCCAATGGTTCTTGAATTCTAACTTCTGCCAATTCACGACATAGCGCGACCACATCGCAATGTCTTCTTCGATGAGTTACTGCCCCATCTTCGACCTGCTGTACCCTACTGGTCACGGCTTCCCACTAGAACCCCAGGTTAACTTCCTGAATAGGGCCAGTCGCTGTAGTTTTTTAGCTATGCTAAATAGTGATAAACGATCATCAGGTGGTGTACATTTATACCTTACAGTAATAAATTAAAAAGTGACTCACAAAATTTATTTTTCTTAATTTCTTTTTGGATGTCATCAATAACACTGGTACATTTCAACAAATAAGAAAAAAGCCAATAAATTCACATCACGTTACTTCAAGTACATTAATTATCACATAAAAATGAAATAAGTTGATGATTATTGCTAGTACAATTATTATCACAAGTTCATCAGATAATTAATTTCAGGTCAGAAAAACTCTTCATTGAAAGCTGCTGTTTGACTTCATTTGCAAACCTCGTACTAGAAAAAAGAAATCCTCGTCAATTTTTTCTGTTACAGTATTGAAAACCAAATAATTTCTCTGACCCCACCTTTTTTTCAGTTATTTTGTTAATTTATTATTTTCAAGCTATGCATGCTTGATTCGTTCTATGTATGCATACTTATGCTTACATATTATATTCTTAATTCGTTGGTTTATTTTGTAACGGTCATGAAAAAGTAATTATTATTTCTTAAATAAGTGTGTATGAATCCACTTACCTTTCCACTTATTCAGCGGTAGGGGGTAAGTAGGTGTTATTCTGATATTTATTAAAAAGGCCTAGAAAAAAGTTACAAGTCTATTAACAAGAATGTAGACATGCATATAACAGTAATTAATGACCTGAAGAGTTCAGAGGTTATTAACTTGAAATACTGAAATTATCTAATTGTTCCTAATTTGATCGCAACGATTTTTTGCACAAGCAAACGGAAGCAACAGACTGCAAATATTCACTGACGGAGAAAAATTTCATCTAGTTGTAGGATTTTGGATGCTGTATTTTCATGAGGTAGATTTTACTATTTCAAACAAACTTCAGATAGAAAACCGTCTAAAATTTAATGACATTAGACAGTTATTCGATATAAGTCTGGAAGTTTCCGTCAGTGTGCACGCACAACCAGAGCAGTCATGAAAGTGTCACTTTCACATTATGAGAGAAACACGTTGTCATTCGGACTCATGTTTAGAATCCTGTGTCGCATGAATTATAACTTCTATTAATTGACGATGATAAGCCAGGAGCTGGAATTAATACGTCGTTGACATCTGTCCATTTGTCTGAATGATATTTCGGTCTTCTTGTAACTGAAGGCACCAGGGTTTAATTTTTGGAGAAATGCCGGCATGGTTATTTAATGTCTTTTTATTTTGAATATTTATAGTACTTATGCTGGATTATGATGAAATCTGTAACGAGATCAGTAGAGTCCCTGAAATCCCAAGGCCGATGAACGGCAAAGCGTTTAGTTCATTAGAAACATGAGATGATTGTTGAGACACATGTAATCTAAGTAAGGGAAGTAAGCAAAATAGTGAGTTTTAAAGTAGCAGAAAACATATGAAATCTATTGTGTTAATAATTTCCATCTGTGTGACTAATTTCGTTTGAGAAAATTGTTCAGAAAGACAGTTTTACTGTGTTGGGTA